AAATACATATGAAACAAAGTGATGAAAAGTGGAAGAAAAACATATATTCCACAAGAATAGAAGAAAATGATTCGAAGAAGAACCTCTTTTAGAGAGGGGGAGAAAGAAAACTTATCTGAGTATGGTAGACGACTCTACTGATCATGACATACAATTTGAATTGATTATCCGATTTGTCCATCCAATCATTCATCAACCATTATTGATCCTTTAATTTTATGTGGGGTCTCAACCTTTAACGAAGTCATAATCAGTTTCAAACCTTTATTCGCCTTATGATGTCCATAAGAGTTTTTGCCACTAAGACTCTCTTATTTTTGTTTGTGTTTGTTTTCATGAAAAAGAGTATGGTGTCATTGTCCGTACCATTAGCATACTTACTCTTGACATTTCAAAGGTTGATCCAAAGGTCCTTTTCTCTCTTATTTTTGTTTGTGTTTGTTTTCATGAAAAAAAGTATGGTGTCATCGTCCGTACCCTTAGTATACTTACTCTTGACATTTCAAAGGTTCATCCAAAGGTCCTTTTTTGATTGAAACACAATTTTTCGACAAGGTATGAAAAAAATGATAGTGTTAATATGACTTTAAATGATGGGGTTGGCTTTAGCTTCGGGATAGAAAGAAATAAAACAAAAATAAAAGGAAACGACTTTTGCCCCTGTCTTTTGCAATATGGAATTTTGAATTTTTATTTGGTTGGACAGAACCCCAACACCAGGGCTGCCTACGTATCTTGTCAAAACAAGAATCAGGTCAAACGTAGTTCAGGATGATGATTTTCTTTTTCTTCTTCTTCCTTTTTGTTTGTCCTTTTTTTTTAGAAGAACCAAGGAAGTACAACAGCCAAGGAAGTAATTAAATCTCAATAGGGGTAGCCAAATATGACTTAAAACTTAGACACAGAACCAAGAATTTCCATTACATCAACCTTTGAAATGTCAAGTCCAAACATGAGAGTTTCTAAAACTGAGAAATCAAATCATATATAATATCTTTTTACGGCATCAACATTGATAGCCATTTCTGCCATTTTTCCTTCTTGCTAAGTAAAGAGCACCATTGGATAATACCTTTTTTACAATGAATGGTCCTTTCCAATTTGGAGAAAATTGTCTTTGACTTCGGCATGATGTGGCAGAATGTGTCTCAACACTTGTTGACCCTCTTCGAAACGTCTGGGACGCACTCTTTTGTTGTATGCTTGTGCCATTCTTTTCTGGTACAATTGTCCATGACATATGGATGTCAATTGCTTCTCATCAATCACGCTTAGTTGCTCCAACCGTGTTATGATCCACTCATCATCATCAATTTCAACCTCTACAATAATTTGTAAGGATGGAATTTCAATAATAGGGGGTGGCACCTACTAACGTACGTACTGTAGTGTGATAACCTAACAAAGCAAAAGGCAATTTTTCATGCCATTATCGAGAACCTTGCACCATTTTACGAAGTATTTTTTTAAATATTTTTGTTAGCAGCTTCTACAGCCCCATTCGCTTTTGGGTGATACGGAGTCGAATTTCGATGTTCAACCTTAAACTGATGGCATACCTCTTACATTAAACAGTTGTTGAGATTTGCGGCATTATCGGTAACAATTACCTTTGGAATACCAAATCGACAGATGATGTTGAAATGAATGAAATCCACCACGACCTTCTTGGTCACTAATTTAAAAGTTACTGCTTCCACCCACTTTGTAAAATAATCAATGGCCACCAGGATGAACCTATGACCATTCGATGATTTTGGTTCTATTGGTCCAATCGCATCCATTCCCCATGCCACAAAAGGCCATGGGGCAGAAATCGCATGCAATTCCGAGGGAGGAGAATGTATCAAATCACCGTGTATTTGACATTCATGACATTTACGAACAAATCGTATGGAATCCCGCTCCATGGTGAGCGAATAATAACTTGCTCGAAGTATCTTCTTTGCTAGAAGATATCCATTCATATGAGGCCCACAAACTCCATAGTGTATTTCAATCATGACCGTTGAGGCCTCTTTAGAATTTACACATCTTAGAAGACCCAAGTCAGGAGTCTTTTTGTACAAGATTCCTCCGTTTAAGAAAAAACCGCTAGCTAGTCATTGAATAGTCTTTTTTTGATTACTAGTGGCATTAGTAGGACATTCTCCAGACTTAAGATATATTTTAATATCATGGAACCAAGGTTTGCCATCAAATTCTTCCTCCACCATGTTGCAATAAGCATGCTGATCACGAATCTGTGTGTACAAAGGGTCGATATGAGCTTCGCCAGGATGTTGGAGCATCAAAGATAAAGTTGACAACGCATCAGCAATCTCATTATGAACTCTAGGAATGTGTCTAAACTTTATTGATACAAACCGTCAACAAAGGTCTTGTAAACAATGTTGATATGGTATGAGCTTTGGGTCACGAGTCTCTCATTCTCCTTGAATTTGATGGACTAGTAAGTCTGAGTCTCCTAGCACTAGCAACTCTTGGATGCCCATGTCAATAGCTAACCTCAAACTCAAGATGCAAGCCTCATACTCTGACATTTAATTGGTACAATAGAATCTAAGTTGAGCTGTGATAGGGAAATATTCCCCTGATTCAGACATAAGAACTGCTCCTATCCCAACTACCTTCTTGTTAGAGGCACCGTCAAAGAACAACTTCCATCCTTGATCCTTATTGTGAATAACTTCATCGAGACATGAAACTGCTTCGTCTGGAAAGTAGGTCTTAAGCGGTTCATATTCATCAACAATAGGGTTCTCTCCCAAATGATCTTCCAATGCTTGAGCCTTTATTGCGGTACGCGTCACATAGATAGTATCAAACTCTGTGAGTAATATTTGCCATTTCGCAAGCCTGCCCGTGGGCATGGGCTTTTAAAAAATATATTTTAACGGATCGATACGAGAAATGAGATAAGTAGTATAAGATGAAAGATAATGCTTCAACTTATGTGCTACCCAAGTTAGGGCATACCACGTTCTTTCAAGAAGGATGTACTTCGATTCATAAATAGTAAATTTCTTGCTGAGGTAATAAATGGCCTGCTCTTTCTTCCCAGTGCCATCATGCTGACCCAATACACAGCCAAAAGAATTATCCAGTACTAACATATATAATATCAATGGTCTACTCGCCTCAGGAGGAACCAACACAGGAGGATTCGTTAAGTAATTCTTAATTCTTTCAAAAGCCTCTCGACATTCTTCAGTCCATTCGACCGTGGCATTCTTTTTTAACAACTTAAAAATGGGCCCGCAGGTTGTTGTGAGTTGAGCAATGAATCTACTTATGTAATTTAACCTTCCTAGAAGGCTCATAACCTCAGTTTTGTTCTTCGGAGGTGGCAATTCCTGAATGACTTTTATTTTTGAAGGATCTAACTCGATACCTCGTCGACTGACTATAAACCCCAAAAGTTTTTCTGACGGTACTCCAAATACACATTTTGTAGGATTAAGCTTGAGATTATACATGCGAAGCCTTTCAAAGAATCTTCTTTAAGTCTTGCACATGATTTGACTGCTTTTTTGATTTAATGATCACATTATCCACATAAACTTCGATTTCTTTATATATCATATCATGAAACATGGTTTTCATTGCCCTCATATAAGTTGCCCCCATATTTTTTAACCCAAATGACATGACCCGATAACAATATGTTCCCCATGGTGTGATAAAAGACGTTTTTTCTATATCTTCATTATCCATAATAATCTGATGGTAACCCACATAGCAATCCACAAAAGATGCAATCTCATGTTTAGCACAATTGTCCAGCAAAATATGGATGTTGGGCAAAGGAAAGTCATCTTTTGGACTTGCTTTGTTCAAATCACGATAATCAACACACATTCGAACTTTGCTGTCTTTCTTAGGGACGGGTATGATGTTGGCTAACCAAGAAGGGTATTGAGCGACTCGAATGACTTTTGCTTCAAGTTGTTTTGTGATTTCCTCTTTAATTATTAAACTCATGTCAGTTTTAAGCTTTCTCAGCTTTTGCTTTACCAGAGGAAACTTAGGATCAATCGACAACTTATGAACCATCATGTCAGTGCTTAATCCAGGCATGTCACCATAGGATGACGTAAAAACATCCTTGTAATGAAACAGATCCTGGATTATATCTTCTTTTTGATGTCGAGCATGTACGCTTATCTTAGTCTCCTTAATATTTTCATGATCCAATAAAGTTATCGTCTCAGTTTCACTCATGTTTGGGTTTGATTTATTCTCAAAATGTTTGAAATCCCTGTGTATTTCTTCAAATACTCCGTCTTCATCATATTCTATTTCTTGACTTATAATTTCAGGATTAGGTTGAAGATTAGATTGGATTTTAAGATCTGGCGAAAAATTCTGCATGCATGTCATATCACTAGAATCGGAATAGAAAGAACTGTATAGAAGAAAAAATAAATATATTAGACTGAAATAAAAACACAATTACATCCTATTGAAAAGGAAAATAGAGAGTTTGAAATAAAATGACAAGATAAAATCCGAATTACAACCCTTGAATAAATCGGATGACAGAAATAAAAACAAGACAGACTACCAACACTCATTCTTAATGGGGAGAGGAGTGGCCTCCCAATTGTTCAGCTGGACATCAAGACCAATGAATTGCACATCTCTGTCACTAGTGACTTCTCCGAGTTCAACCATATCAGCCTCGACAAATAAATCTTGAAAATAGTTGATCAGTTCTTCGTTAACCTCCAGAATTGGCTTTGGGAATAGTGACTCAGAAGATTCTGTTGTGCGGGCTTTGATGAAAGATTTGTATATGGGTGGTATAGGCTTGGTTAGTGACCATACATCTCTCTTCTGCTTCTTGGCCTTCATTTTGTCCTCGACTCTGGGCTCGTATCCTAAGCCAAAAGTACCAAGGCTCTTTCGTGGACTCGCCAGATAAGTTCTCCCTTGCAAAAAGATCACCAAGCCTTTACCCGGTTCAAGCCCATGCTTTAGCATTTCATTTACCATCATCACGATACCATGGGCAATTGTGGTTTTGAAATGAGATTCCCCTCGAGGATATGCTCAGCAACCACTACCTCAAAAGCTGGATAAACCAGTGCCTCATTCTCATTATTTGCCTTGACAAAATGGAGGGAAGAGTCTTTGTAGACTGAAAAATCCCCCTCAGCATGAACAATTACTTCTTGTAGGTCGTATTCAGACTTAATTATTTGATGCAACGTAGAGGGGACTACCCCAGCCCTATACACCAATGGTCTCCCCAACAATAGATTATAGGATGCATTGATATTTAACACTTGAAAATTCACAGTGAAATTGACAGGCCCTATTGTTAGTATGAGCTCTATCTTACCAATGGCATCTGTTTGTGACCTATCAAAAGCTCTAACACATACATTGTTGGGTCGTACCTTTTCAGTTTTAACATTCAATTTTTGTAAAGTTGACAAAGGACAAATATTTTCCCCAGATCCTCCATCAATTAGGACTCGAGTGACATATGAAAGCTCACACTTTATAGTGATATGGAGGCCTTGGTTATGTCCCGTTCCTTCAATCGATAGTTCATCATCTGAAAAGGTGATTCGGTTTACCTCAAAAATTCTCCCAGTAATCTTCTCTAACTGACTTACCGTAACTTCATTAGGAACATGTGCTTCGTTCAAAATCTTCATTATAGCTTTACGATGTTCATCTGAATGTATCAACAAAGACAATAAAGAGATTTGGGCTGGAGTTTTCCTTAGTTGTTCCACGATGGAATAGTCTGACAATTTCATTTTTCTTAAGAACTCCTCTGCTTCTTCTTCAGTGACTGGACTCTGAACTTGCATTTGGTCATTTTTATTTTTCCTTAATCCAGTCGGGGAATAGCATCTTCCCGAACGGGTCATTCCGCCTACTTCATCTACTTCTTCATTGACTTCTTTCCCCTTGTATGTCACGACAGTGGGCTCATAATTCCAAGGTACAGCCTTGGGGTTAGTCATTGAAAGTTGGGATACTGTCCTAATGATCACATGTGGAATATAGGCTCCTTGCACGATGAAGATAGGCTTGTTTGGCCATCTTGGAACAACCAATCTTGCCTCTCTCTGACGTGCCCAAACATCTTCAAGTGCTCCTTTCACAGTTAGAATAGGTATGTTTGATGGGCTCAACTTTTCCAACGTCTTTTTTGCCCCTAAAGGCACCATTTTTGTCAAGTCAACATCATTCGCCGAATTTTCCATGCCAGTTCCAACCTTAAGGATCGGCTTGTATGGGATTGCAATTTCTTCGCAACCATTCATCATTTCTAACATGTTTGTTTCAGTATGCCTGGGCAGTGGATTTTGATTGATGTTTGGTCCAGTTGGGCTTTCAACTATAATTTGATGAGTATCAATCAAATCTTGAATTGGCCTTTTCAAGTACCAACATCTTTCTATGTTGTGCCCTGGGGCATCAGAATAATTGGCGTAGTGTTGAGAATAATCTAGATTTCTTGGGGAAGGATTTGACATCTTTCTTTCAATAAGACTCAAAACATTCAACGTCCTTAATTTTTGAAACAAGCTAGCGTATGATTCTCCAATAGGGGTGAACTCATCCTTAGCTCCATTTCCCTTCTTGTATTATGGTCTAGGACGTGAAGGAATTCTGGCGGTATTTTGGTGAATTTATGGGGGGGTGGATGATTTTGAGGAATTGGTGCACGCCATTGCGGATAAGAATGAGGAACAATTGGTTGGGCGCTAAAAAGGGATATGGAGAGTATGGGATGGGATATTGTGGAGTTTGGGAATGAAAATGTTGCGAGGGATTATCTTGGACATAGGTCCGCGGCGCTGATACAACAGTGGCTACATCCTCTCTTCTCTTCTTCCCTTGAATATTTCCAGAACCATTTTGAAGCACTTGTGTTGTGGCCTTTAAGGCAGCTTGGCTTACAATCTTTCCAGACTTGATGCCATTTTCCACCATTTCCCCAACCTTAATAACTTCAGCGAATGTCTTCCCGACGGCAGAAAGCAAATAGTGAAAGTAATCAGGTTCTTGTGCTTGGAGAAAAATGTCAATCATCTTTGACTCCTTCATTGGGGATTTAACCCTAGCAGCTTGCTCCCTCCATCTGACGGCATATTCACGAAAAATTTTCGTGGCCTTTTTCCTCGTGTTGGATAATAAGGAGCGGCTTGACACAATGTCAATATTATATTGGAATTATTGCACAAAACATCGAGCCAAATCATCCCATGTATGCCAATTGGCAATATCCTGATCTATGAACCATTCAGATGCAATTCCCTCTAGGCTTTCCCTAAAATAGGCCATAAGCAACTCTTCTTTGCCTTCTGCACCCCTCAATTGATTGCAATATCTCTTCAAATGAGCCATGGGGTCTCCGTGACCATTGTATTTCTCAAACTTTGGGGTTTTAAAACCAGCAAGCAAATAGACGTGGGAAACATGCACAAATCACTGAATGAGATACCTTTGTGGCCACCTAGTCCCTGCATATCTCTTATACTATGTTCCAAACTCTTCAATTTCTTAGCCATTTCGTCATGTTCCTCGTTCTTAACCGTCTTCTCAATTTTGAAAGGGGAACTATATTGATGAGTTTGAGGATAAGAGTTTGGGATTTTAAGGGCCTCTTCAGGGGTGTAGACACGGTCATGAAGAACTTGGGATGAAGGATCATTGTTGGATTTGGACACCATTGTTGGTTGGGGAATGCTATTAGTTTGTGCAGTTGGCATGAAGAGTGGATTACTCATCATGGGTGTACTCAAAGGGCGCACCGTAGACGTTCCAGCAACGTTGGATGTGTTAGCATAGGGGCCAAACCCAGGTGGATAGATTGGACTTGTATTTAGATAGTCACGGATTAAAGACGGTGGAGCTTGTCCACTCATCCAATCTTCGCACATCTCTGCCATTTGCTGCCTTAATACCCTTACCTCTTTTGTTGACACTGTTTCTTAAGAAGTCATCTGGTTTCGGACCTCATCATTTTCTGACTCATTTCCGTCTTTCTAGGCCATTTTGTTTTTCCCTTTTGACCTTGTATTGTAGGGATGGGATGAGAGCTTAGCCACAAACCAACCACCTTTAAGCTAATATGTTTCTCTTTCTTTCTCTCTCTCTCTCTGCATGGAGTAGCAAATAGATTAGTGCTAAGGAATCGTGCATATTGCATCCACATATATACTTCTAATATGGAAGACCTTATGTTTAATCCCGGCTTATCTAGGCATTGTCTCCTCTTTAGTTATTCTTGTTAAAAAGGTTTGATCAAACTCATTGGGTTGTCTACGTATCATGTTGGTGCATGAATCAGATCTTTGTGTAGTTCGAGAATATACATTAAAACCTTTTTTTTAGATATATACATATAAATATATATTTATGCATTTATACTAACAGAAAAATTGAAACCAGACATAAGCATAACTTAACATATCATTTCAATGTTTGGAACATAAGTAAGAAGATGATGAGAAAATCACCAAACAAAAGTCAATAACTTAAACAGACACGACCTAGACAAAGTGTAGAAATGTAGAATGAAATAAAGGAGGACTTAAACCAAAGAAAACGACACTAATGAAACAAATGCTTGTATCAACCCTCATATCCCAGAAACATAAATGTCATGCTTGCATCCCCATCTGCTCGCTCATGGAGATGGTGGTCTTAAACGACCTCCTACACTCTGATATATATCTTACACTGACGTCATAAGGTACTCAGTGAATTCAGGTACTTCAGCCAGAAATTGTTCATTGTTCATCTCTTGATAATCTAAACCCATTTGGGCAGTGTGATCAACCAAACGACGGACTTTTAATCGAAGTGAATTGGAACTCTAATTCCATCCTCATATCTGTTGATCATGGGAGGCCACCATTTCTCTAGCACGTCTTTCTTGAGTCGAGACCGACTCTATTTCCTCTCGAAGTCTTCCCCTTTCACGGATCCACTGAGCTATCTCTTGATCAAAATCTGTCTGACTTTTCTGATCACATGTCCTTAACTGTTGTTGTCGAGATACCGCAAGTTCCGTGACTTGTGCTACCCTAATGGTTGCTAGATTAACTTGTCCTCAGAGCAAGGTTTCTATCTGAGTTGCCTTGGCCCTTTCTTCTTCGAACTCTGTTTGTTGTTTGGTTAGAGCAACTCTAGCGAGCTCTAAATTTGCTCTTAATTCCTGATTTTCAGCAAGGTAATCACGCATAGCCAACTCGATTTTTATTTTCATCTCAGCCTCATGGTCTATTGGTTCTTTTACAAATCTCTCCGGCCTAAGTTGTAACTGAGGTTGTTGCTCAAGCCAATTAGAGTATTCTGGGTGAGTTTCTCCTGTGTGTCGTTCTTTAACCATCGTTCTAATTCTCATGACTAAACAACCATCCCAATTTTTTTGGGCCAATCCTTTAGGAAGGGGGACTTCTGGTCCAACTTCGGACACAAAATCTTTCATATCCTCTGTGATAGGTAGAACTTGACGCCTGCCTAATTGACGTAAAGCCCACAGCGATACGTATGGTTGCACACCCCTAATACCAATTAATAATAACAAAGGGCAAATAGACGACATGTGTATGACTTCTACCCAAGGGAACCAAGGATAATTCCAAGTGATCTTATCTTCTGTTAGCGAGCGAAAATGTTCAACCCAAGCATTGACCCCTTCCGGACACTTGTATTTCTCCACCCTTTTGGCATGACTTGTAATGTAGTCGCTTCTATCCTGAATGAACCTTGCCACCGTAGGAGGTTGGTAAAGATATTCTACTATCCATAGTTGAAGCAATATATTGCATCCCTCAAAGAAACGTTTCCCTTTCTGGCAGACAGTCAGAGCATGGTAGATATCAGCCAAAATCATGGGGACGATGGTATAATTCTTTTTTCTCAATTAATACATTCACTACCCCGGTCAAAAGGATGTTAATCTTTCTGCCTCTCTTTGGGAAAATGATTGTTCCCATAAAATCTACCATAAAAGCAAAACATTAATGCTCTTTCCATGTTTCAAAACTTCCCTTATTGTTGAGTTTCCTTCCAAATTTCTTGAATCCGTCTTCTTTTCCATACCTATCATACAAAAATTGTAATGAGATCCAACCTTTGTCTAATGATTATTCCTTGGCTTTGCAAATGTTCAAGTGTTGAAAAAATTTATTGATGGATATGCCCCTTGGGGCTTTAAGCCTCTGGTGGTGTAACCTCACTCCGAACTCGGTAAAGCCAGCTATTTCCTACAAGGTTGGGGTCATTTCAAAATTCGAGAAATGAAAAACATTGTTGGTGGGATCCCAAAAGGACAACCGTGCTTCGATCACATCTCTCTTAGGTTCCACTTGCATGATTCTAGTCAAGAAACTCAAATATTTGATTATTATGCCTTGTTCTATCAACCCCATGTTATTCCACCATGCCCACAACTGCAAGGGAGTACAATCTACAATCTGAAGTGGTACATTCGAATCTCTTTTCCTTTTCTGACATTTTCCACGACCGGGATGAACCATGTTGTGCATATGGAAAAAGATGCAGGATCAAGAAACGCTCATATTTACGATGCTTAATTTATGGACCTCTTATATTTGGGAAAAGGGGAAAAAATGTGTTAACTTATATAAAATGAAGCACAATATTTTTCAAATAAAGACTATAAGAAAAGGGAAAATAAGCACTTGTATTTATAAAGTGAATACATTTTGAATGTTTGTCACTTGAACAATCAGACTTAGAGCACATGCGGCCAATAAATATCTAATTTATTTGAAAATTTCTTTTGATAAAGAACTTATATTTCCTTAAGCAAGTGGTTATTCTATGAGTCTGATTGCAAAACATTTTCTAGTAAATGCACCTTTAAAATCATGGTTTAAATAATAATTTCAACTAAATCTATTATTATGAGTGACTATCATGAATTTTAATTACTATTACTTGTAAATAGATCAAATAAATGTTGAAGATGACATACTCTTAATAGGATTAATTAAAACTCCGAGCCAATATAACGGATGATATATATGGCTTATCAAAGAATTTTTGTGTAAAAATAAGAAAAAAAAATCTTGAAATTGACTTTGCCAAAAACTATTGGACATTCTAACCCATTATTAGGGATATATTGGTAGACACGCCTATATATTGTAGGGTACTTTTATTTTGAGAAATAAATAGTTACCCTTTTTTTTTCAAGAAAATACTATTATTAATAATCATAATATATATGAATATTAAAAAAAATATTTTAGAGGAAACCTAAAGCCGGTCAACAATCAAGGTCTTCCATATGATTTTTTACAAATAACACATAAAATGCACATATTGGTCAAGAAGAGGGTCTCTTGTCCTAGACGGACCCAACCCCTGTGTCGAGTGCCACTAAATCAAATACAAATTATGCAAATAAGCGGAGCCTACTAGGGATACACATGTCTATGTTTCAATTTTACTAGGTTAGACTGATGTGAGGCTAAAAATACATATTCTTAATCAT